TACAAGTAATGCACTCTACTTACCTAGGGCACGGTTCCATCTTAGAAATAATTTAAAATTTTCTCTTTATTGAAAGGGTATAATGGTTCAGTTATTCCTCTCGAGCGTGTGTTAGTAGCATGGATGCTCCAGAACATAGCCTCTTAGGCGGACCAAATTTGGATTATGTCCACTGTATCTACACTGAAACTGACATTCGTTTGTACGGGGTTTGTAATTAAAAAGCGATCGTCTAGTCCTTTAAGGAACTTTTTACTTGACCCATCTCTATCTCGACTTAAAATCGCCGCATGGTACACCCCAACAATGTCCGGAATAAGCCCATTAAACCATTGATTTATATGTTTCTATCTGCTTGGCATTTTATTTCCACAGAATTCAAAAACCTTCGCAATCAATAACTGTTCGATGTCCTGCCTTGCAAATTCTAAAGCGACTTTGCTGGATTGACCGAATGACTGACTGTCCTTTCGATTTGGACTTTTTTGCACATTTTAAGGTACGGCGATAAGCCCGAGGATTGTCCCTATCTGTGGAACCGCATGTTGGAGTATGCTCGTATGACGGCGCGGGTCTTCCACGGTGTGCGACTGGATAACTGCCATAGTACACCCCTACACGTGGCACAAGCTGTCCTTGACGCCTGCCGGGAGGTCCGACCTAACATTTACATCATTGGTGAAGTCTTTACCAATGATGAAAAGACTGACAACCTCATTCTCAACAAATTGGGCATCTGCTCTCTTATACGTGGTGCGTTGAATCTCATATGGTTGGAAAATGCTAGTTTTTGCATGAATTTAGCGTTAGAGATGGCGTACGCTAGAATACGAAAGAAGGAACGTAAAGTTGGTCGCTAAAAGTAGGCTAAAATTGCTTCTATCTTTGTTTGGAATTAGTTGAATTATCGCTTAAAGTTAAGCGTTGGCGGCTTTAAGTCGATATTTAACTGCCCGACTTCACTTATTTTCGTTTAGGTGTTGTGGTATTACATGTCCTCATTTCTTTCACGATCTTTATATCTTTTAAGAGGTTTATCATGCCTAGCCCAAGTTTCTCGTGTAGAATCGCAGTCTTCCTAAAAGGTTTATTTCCTTGGACAAAGTTATTTAAATAAAGGGTGTTTTTACTCCAATGAATTCAGCATTAAAGTAATTTTGCCTTCAAATCGAGAGGCCTAGATCGATAGACTCACGATCTATCTGGATTTGGACAGGTCATCTGCCTTACAAGCATAGTGATTTTCATTGGAAAGTCTTGAAAATTCTCTTGGCTGCTTCTCCTTTTCTGGTGAGCAGATGTGAGTTTGGTTTTCAAAGACCCTAGAAATGCGCAGCGCAACTTTGGCTCCTCCAGGATAATAACAAATAATCGTTGGCATTGTTAGTTGTTGCTTCTACATACTTTAATTATCTTTTCCTTTTGAGGCAGATACGGGGTCGCTTCGACAGTACGATTTTATTAGCCCAGCTTGGCGTTCCTATTGGACTCGGTGATTAAAGTCGTTATTTCCAAAATTATCTCAAGATTTTTCAATCCTTATAGAAGCTCTTTCTGCGCACGACTGTCATGACGAAGGTCGATTAGTGCACTACTTTGGAGGCCACCATCCTGCTGGAGGTTTTCCCCATGCTGTACTAAAGCGTCGCCTCCTACCTACGGTGGCACATGCCCTATTCTACGATCAGACACATGATAACCCCGCTCCTGCTGTCAAGCGCACGGTCTTTGATCATCTTCCCTCCTCTGCCCTAGTCGCTATGGCAGCTTGTTCCTCCGCCTCGACGCGTGGCTACGATGAGTTGGTGCCTTATCAGATTGATGTAGTCTCGGAGAGGAGATTCTACGCAAAATGGGACACGGATATAAATGCCTCTACTGGAATGATTCGGGCGAAGGCGGCGCTCAATCGTCTGCATCGGTGGATGGCTGCTAACAACTTCAACGAGACTTTTGTGGATCAGGCCAGTTTTTTTATATGTAAAAGGCTATACTAATTCCCTCAGCAAAATTTGGCAATGTTGGATTGGTGAATTGACACTTACAAAGCCTTCGAAAAACGGAAAACTTTTGGGAATTAATATATAGGCTAGAGAAATCAATTTATTTGAGGGAGAGCAATGAGTTATCAACTCCCAGTATATTCGATGTCCTTTTCGTCTATCATATGTGCCTTGTTATCAAAGTTAGCTTTTTTCCGTTTTTTAATGTAAACGGTCGATTTTGCGCACTTGTGTCGACTACACTGCCAATATGCGCGCCAATTTTTCTCTCTCTCACAGGTGGATACCAACGTGATCGCTGTGACACGTTTCTCAGCCGACACGGCGGAGTCGGTTGTCATGGTATCACACTCCTGCTTCTACGATCGCAGTCCACATCCAGTGCATCATCCCTTCCGTAAAATTATGCTCAACGGTCGTGTTCGACGCATTCTTATTGAAGCCCGCACTAAGAACCACTCTTTGGGCAATCCTATGGACGATTTCAAGTGGAACGATTGTGTAGGTCTGGAGTTATTTCGTGGAATGAAATTAAATTTACTCTGATAATAAGACGCAGGGCTAATGTTAATTCCTAGAATCGTCATATTTGTTTGTAATGCCCTAGAATGTTTCGTGCAAACCATTTCTTTCCCAGTGCGCTGAGAGGATAAAGCAGTGCTGTCAATTTAGTGATGAGATATCCCTGCTAATATCAGCGGGAGCTCGTTGCCAACTTGTGTCTAAGGCTAGCTTTAGTCCAAAGTTTGAATTAAGTTAACTCAGCCTGTTCAGTAGTTCAATGGCGATGCATAATTAAACGATTTCCATGGTTTAATCGTTTATTTACTCTAAGCATTTGCCACCGGTAAAAGTACGATCTAAATGCATAAATGCAGACCATCGTGTCCATACACTTTTCTAGTTGTTTGTGGCTATTTCACAGCCACTTTCTATTGCGGTTTCTAGGGTAAATTTTTTATATTCAATCTTTGCGTTAAGTTGAATTATTATATGAAATTACCCAGTAAACCCTAGGCAGACGTGGTTTCTTGTCGGTAAATGGGTAAACTGCGCGCCAAACATGCAATATCTAGCATGTTTATTGGCTCCACGTGACTGATTAATGTCATTCTCTGAACGTTCAGCTTCGGAACTTTTGCGCGTCTATGCTATGCTATGC